TTTTTCGGTAAACTTTTGTTTGCCAGCTGCCAAGGTAAAAATGGAAAACGGGGCGAAAATTGAGGTTGGTTATTATTTTACGGTTTGCGGCAAAGTGTTTTAGGGGGGCCCAACTTTAGTTGCATTTAATTAGCATTATTGTCATGGCAACGGCAAAACCCATTATCGGCGTAAATTACCTTGCCTTCCGAATGAGAGAGTTGATTACCCCGAAAATCATCCTTTCGAATAGAAACGAATTTAATTATATTAAGCCCGACACAGATATTAATTGTGCAAGCAAATTATGGAGGTGCAATTTTCGGTTTCGGCTCGGTTCATTTGATCAGGTCAACTCGTTTGTTAGGCACATGTTTCCTGTGTTAATTAAGGAAAGGATTTGTTTGCTACCGGAAAACCCAATGAAAATTGCAGAAATTGCGACAAGATAAATGTGCTTATAGGATTGCAGAAAATTTCAGTGATACTTAATGCCTAAGATATCCAGCTCTTAGAGAATTTGTTATAGACACCAGCAGACAAATTATGTGGTTTCTGCTTGATAATGATATTGCTAGCAATTTGGCCAACAATTAGGAAGCATTTAAGTTTAATCCGAAAATGTTAAGAGCTTATCTCACCATTTAATTGGCCCAACTTTTCATCTCTGGCTGGTTATGCAAACCAGACTGCAGGGGAGTGCCGTGATATCGGAGGGTTTTTCGCATTAAAAAGTCGTTTATAATTAGATTCTCGATCATTCAGCAGTGGCAACAGTAGAATGACCTCTATTCGATGGCCGATAGGTTTGATAGCGACCTACCAGTTGACTCATTGTTTACGGGTTGATCAAGGAAAAACGAGTAGAGCAAGTCTGGTGTGTAGGGTGATTGCTTTATTGATACTTCTTATCAACAGGAAGATAGGAGAAAGCCCCGCCGATCGCAAAGCACTTCAAAGATTTCGGGGGGCATAAAAGCATTGGCCAGCCGTCGGTTTAGACCAAGTTACGAACGAACCGTGAAGCGAGCAACATGCACTCCCAGCTAACTGCCATCCTGCTGGCCACCGTGGCCATCGGCTCCTGCATCGCGAGTCCCGCCCTGATCTCAGGACACTCGAGAATGTTCGAGCTAATGAGTGCCACCAGCGAGCAGCAACGGAATAACCCCCCAACTGGCCGCCGCCTGCTTCAACTATTACAACCCGATTCTGAATTCTGATCTCGCGGCGTACGATGAGGAATACGCTCAGTGCTCGATTAGTTACGACGAAGGCCGCTTGGCAGTCCTGAAGCGGTATGACGACCCCCTTTGGGATGTCAGCAATTACACCTTCGATGCCTGCAAGAGGGTTCTCGACTGCGATTTTCTGGAGAACAGCCAGGTATCACTGAACTGCTATGCGAACAAGGTGAGTTACTTAATTGAGTTGAAAAATATGAGGATATTTTATATATATAAAATATATATATGAGGATATAATATATATTCATATTAGTACTATTTTTAATGAGATTCAATTATTTACTTCAGGGTCCGATTGAATCTAAGGAGTTGAACACTGCGGCCTTCAATGCCTCGAAATTGTACAGTTCCCTGGGTCAGGAAGTCGAACAGCTCCAATTTAGCCGTGAGCTTTGCTTCAACATTTCGAGACGGAATTACGAGCTCCGTTCCGGAAACACATATCAAGACCTTCAAAGCTGCCTAATGGGTCTGTCGCCTGTGCCAGAGATCACCACCACCACCACTACCACGACTACCGAACCCACCACCACTACCACCGTCCTGATATCTTCCAGCACAGATGAGGTAACAACCACAACAACTCCTTTGCCGAACGACAGCTCCTCAACGATCTCCCCCTCGACAATTTCCCACTTTGGGTCCAATGAAGGCAACAGTGCTCATAGCGAGCACCAGAGGACATTTTCTAATAATATGAGAATATTTACATAAATTGTACATCTCAAAAGATTTATTAAAATGAACATTGCAAACTGTATTTCCAAATAGAGTTGTGAAATATGTAATGTAACAGAAATTTAAAAGAAACATAACAAAAATTATAAGCTTAATTTAAGGATCTCTTCTGCTTGAAACTGGTCTAATAAAAGATGTTAAAGGGGAACACCCTAGATAATTGCAAAATAATAGAGGGTATTAAGGAGCGGTAAAGGATGAGGGGCTGGCTCCATTCACAATCCAAGCAGATCTAGGTGGCTGGGAATGTTTTTTGAAATTTTGAACATGTAAAATTACCAACAAACAGCAAAAATTAATTTTAAGGTTTTCTACCTTACACAGCTCATGGCTTATCGAATGGCAAACTGTTTCGAATTTCACTGCCAGAACATGACCACCGAGTATGGATGCAATTTTCCCCCAACTTATTTATTTAACTGACATGTTTTTCGGGCGGCCGGTGTGGAAAACATGTGGTGAATGCTAATCATGCAATTTGCTCTATTTCTAATGTGAGGCTGTGCTTTTGCATTTTGTTAAGCCCACTGATTTGATGAGGACTTTGGAAAAGTCGGACGAAAGCGGCGCTAACTGCAAATTGCAATAGAAGGGCAGAACAAGGTTCTGATAATAATCAATGAGAATTCTGCTCTAATTTCAGGTCATAATGCTCTACCATTACCTGAAACCATAAACACAATTTGGCATGCAAACTAGAGGCTTATTTAATTCTGCGTGAAAAGCGTTGATGTTTTGGGGCTGAATTTTGCGTTAAATTGTTCGCCACTGCACTTAAATAATGTAAATATAATTTGGCTGTTTGAACACATTTTATGCGAGCTCATGTTTCTGCTTGGCCGAAAAAGGGGACATGGTTTTGTTTTCATTGTGTTTGCCTTTTCATTCGGCTTCATTCAGGTGACAATGCAACTAATTATAGTCAACAATGTGGCATGCCCCTTCCCCTTGGCCCCGCGTTAAATAAATCAGAAAGTAATTAAAACAACATGAAATGCGACTGTGAGTCGGCTGCCGTTTGAGTTTCAGCTTCAGTTTCAGTTCTAGTTTCCGTTTTAGTTCCAGCGGAAGCTGCACTTGCCATCCTTGTACGGAGCTACCCATTTAGCAAACAAAACAAAATGAAGGCGAAAATCTGAGAAGCCAAAACGAGCCAAAAAATACCCTTATATACTATGGATTGAAATTAAATTTTTGAATCTGTAAGTTAAAGAAAAAACTGATTAAATAAAAAACTAAGACAAAAACTGTATGTAGATAAAAACCTCAAAGTACATTTATTTCCATAAAAGGAAACATTTTTAAACAATTTTGCCTAAGCTCATAGTATAGCAAGCAATATTGTATCTTCCAGTTAGAAGTGCTTTTCTGTGTTTCAGCAAAGTTACCAGCAAAACTTAAAATGTTTTTTTTTAAGGGTATTTAGAACAAAACCAACAATGACAGCCATCGGTCGAAGGAAGCCACAACAGCACAACTTGAAATGGAAAATATCCTCGGATGGGTTTCCCCGGGGATCCAGAGGAGGTTACAAGCGTAGGGAAATGGGAAAAAATGTGGAAGCAAAATAAACTTAATTTACGCTTATTTGCGTTGACAAACGCTTCCAAAAGAGTGCAAGTTTTAATTGCAAAATTTATTTCATTTGCCGATGCGAGGGGATTGTTGTGGGGAAACCAGTTAACTGGTTCACCAACTGAAATTGATCTTACGAAGGACCGTTTCAATTAAAGTGAAAACAATACTGCCATTCAGCTTTTCAGTTATCGCCAACACCTTCCCAGTCCGCTGATATTTTGACATCAGTGTCAGCTTTATGATAATTAGCGAGCGACTTCGCTCGAGGGCGGCCATACGTCATGGCAAGCTGTCAATGGGCCAAGCGATTTATGGCCCAGTTTAATCAGCATCCGGCCGCCATAAAATGTGAAATCAATTTGGCCAAGGCTGGCATAAAGTTTTCGAAAGCGGAGCAGCAAGGAATGTACATTAGTTGCGGCGAAAGTGTGCTCACACTTTTTGCAGACACTGTTTCGTCCTCCTTGCCGCAGGCGGAATTTTCATTAAAGCATTTTTGATGTCTAATTTGCATATTTCGCAGCTGGCCGAGTTGCATGCCGACACTCTGAGGCAGGCAAGTGACACGTTAAGCATTCAAAAGCGGGCGCAAAATGCAAAATTGGGGTTGGGGTTGGGGAAGAGTGGCAAGTGGAAAGTGGAAAGGCCCACTGCACTCGAAAGAAAAGTGCAAGCTTTTCTCTCCTGATGGCCGGCTGTCAGTCGCCCGTTCTTCGTCCGCTCCCTTCCGTGGCTCAGATTTTGGCCAGGACAAAGTGTCGAGTGGCAACACTAATTCGCAAGCTGCCCGAACAACAGCAGCAACATGGAAAATGCACACACATACGAACACACACACACACTAACACTCACACTCCTTTTTTGTGTTGGATTTTCAGCTAAATTTGTGCCAGCGCTTTTTCCGCTTGCTTTTTGTTAATTTCCAATTTTCAAACCATTTCTGGCTGGGTGTGTGCACAGCTGCTCCCTGTGTGTGTGTGTATGTGTATGTGTATGTGGGTTCGGTCAACATTTCGTTTGGCTCATGGCATTAATTCAATTACTGTTTGCATATTGCCAGAGATCCGAGCTCATGTAAGTTTCATCGTTCCTGCAGCTCAAAAAAGGGAGGGGTTCGCTTAAAAGGATACTGAAGTTTCCACCGAGCATCCTTAAAAGGAGAAACTTAAATTGCGCCCGGAATTATGTTGGTTATCCGAAACAGCAAACGAAAATTGCACGAAATGTGGAAAAACATCACAACTTACAGTGGCCAAAAAAATAAACGAACGAATTATTAATAGGCAAATTAACAAAATGAATAAAATATTAAAATTCATTGAAATAACAACACGTTTTTACATTTTGATATTTTTTAAAGGGACTTTAAAGGAGAATAAGTAAGTCATTTTATATTATTTGGATATTCGTGTGTCAGGTTTTTCCCCCTTTTTACTTTTACAGAAATGTTTAACTTACCAATGTTTTTGAGCACATGCTAAAGCTTTTTCAATGATTTTTGTGGAGTTTTAATTGGAGTTGAGTGTGTGCACTCAGGTGGATTTCTCACATGCAACTTGCAGGTCCTTGTTTCATATTCCGATGACGTTAAAGTAATTTCCATATATGCTGAAACAATTTTGGCCAACCCTTCACCGACGGTTCGGAGCGATCGCGACTCGTTTATTTCTGGGCTTCTGCCGCTGCAACCGTTGGAACGAATGAGCCGCCTGCCCCCAGATGCTTGGCCATTTATAATCTGGCCCAGAAGTGGTAGCTGGTAAGGCGCCATCGCTGCACGATGCTATTGTTAGATATGCCACCTGTTGGTATATAGGAGAGCGGTTGACATTGGGAGCGGAAAAGCCGGCGGAACGCTCTGGCTAATTACTCCGCTATCAAAGGCTGTAAATACAGTAGTGGTCAATGGAAGAGTACCAGGCTAACCAAAGAACTACATTCGCTCTACAGTTAAAAATACTATATTGAATAATATACCTTAGAGTGGAATTAAAATGTAATATTGTACTTTCAACCTTTAAATCAATATATACCCTTAAAGTATTTTCATGCTTAATTGCACATTAAGAAGTTACTGTGAATGGCTTTGGATCTGCTATTTTTGTGACCGCAGCTGTAGCGGCAGAGTAAGAAGGATAAAGCTGGACGTCACCGTCGACGTCGTCATCATCGGCGATATAATATAGGGCGAAGTGCATAAATACCAGCGTAGTCGGGGCAACTAACTGAGCGGTGGCAGCTTGCTTATCACCACTCACACACACGGGCTGCCAGAAAGAGACGGCAATGGGCGGAGAGGGAGACGGGGAGCGAGCGGGACAGGAAGACTCAACCACACTGCAGTGGAATATCCCGCCGCGCTGATAACATTTGAATTTTCGGCTTGATTTATGGGCATAACATGAAACTAACTCCCTGACATATCGGAACAAGCTTCAGCAGAAAAGCGAGCCATAAAACCCGGAAAGTACAACAACCACCGTGTAGCGATTTCCACGCTGACGCAGTTGAGAACGCAAATTGAATCGAGTCAGTTAGTGGTGTGTTCATCAGTTTGGCTTTAAGTTTCGGACATTTCGACAGCTGATGGCCGGGCAGAGATTAGGTTTTTAACCAAAAAGCCCACTATGACTCCCCCCGAATGCTCGAAAACTGGCAATAAAGTTTTTAATTAATTCAATCAAAAAATTCGAATACCTTTTGGCTGTCTTTTGTCGGTGGAAAAACAAAGAAAAAGCAAAAATGAAAGCACAATCTTTCATTGTAGTTCCCCAATTTTGTCTGCATTCCTTTCTACTTGCACAGTTTTCACCTTGGCTAAGCCATGTTTATGGTTTTCTGCTTTAAAGAGAGTTTTAAACTATTTGATACCCTTTAAACCAATAAGAATATGTACAAATTGTTATTTGACTCAGTGTTAACACAATGCATTTTTTAAGAAACTGTTTTATAAGAATTAGTTTCCATATTTTAAAAGTTTTTTTTGTTGTGAAAGGGTATTATCAAGTTGTGATTGATCTTTGTTAGCTTTTTCCCATCCTCCTTTTTCTTGGGAGCGCTGAGCATTTTTCATAGCTGCCTCACATATTTGCAAAGCGTTTGCTTTCGGGTTAAACGCTTTTATTGCATTCTGCAGATGGCGATGTGACGTTGTCGGTGTCATTATTGGCCGACTGCCTTGCCCCGCTCCTCCACTTACAATCTAATAAACTTTACATTTGTTTGGTTTGGTTTTTCCTCATTCAGACTGTCGCTTGATATTGCCCATCTTAGAGTCTGAGTACTATTTTTTGCGGGGTCCTCGGAGTCTTCATTTTTTATGCCAAGTCCTCATCTGCTGCCGGCCAACTTCCTTCCATTGTCGACTTCCCCTTGGCGTCCCTGCTCCTTGTGGCTTTTCGACTCTGTCGCCCCTCACTCATTTCGTTTCGGACATTTACTTAGTCGGTGAGGTTGCCAGTTGCCTTTTCACCGGACTTTGACATCTTAAAGTTTATCAAATAGTGGCCACAACTTTTGCAGCTTTTGTGTATGTATATTTTCTGCGGTCATGCTCTGCGGTTTCTTCTCGTTTCTGTATTTATTTATGCAGATCTCTGTTTTGCCATAAACTTTTGCTTGTTTTTTTTTTTCTGTTTTGTTACGGCACGAAATGCATAACAGGGTTAGTCGTCGAGTAGTTTTGTTTTGAACAGCATTCCTCTGAAGCAATTAAAAAGTATTATTTCTGCGTATAACGGGGCGTATGCGCAATTTCCACTAGCTCGCAAAAATTTTAATTAGAGTGCGTTTTAGTGGGAAGGAGACTGCAGCATGACCCACTGAAATGCGAGTACATTCCACGGTCCACGCTCCACAAGCATCCACGACCAGGGACAAGGACAAGTTCATTAAGTTTCGGCATTGCCACCCGGGGAGCTTTGCTTTAATTAATTTCCCGGCTGCAGCTTGTCAGGTATTCGAAATACACTGCATGCGTTGATACGAGCTGCCGGCCCCTAATCAGCGTATAATCTTTACGGCCAGTGACGCACATCCATGTGGATAAGCCACGGTTCCCAGTCGCTCTGGGTGCCGCATCCCACATCCAGGGGCAGTCGGTGGATCACCGCCCACCGGAATGCCGATGCCGCGGTGGAACGGTGGAGCATAAATCACACAAAACTATTCCCCCATTTCCCCGACACTTACACGGGCGCTTATCATCGGGCTTTTGGCGGATGATTGCCACTGCCATTGCCACCGACTGTCTATTTGCCGCCCTTCAAATCTATTTCAATAAGCTCCGTTTATGACCCGGCCACGCTCCCACTCTTCTAATTCTATATCTATCCGAATCCCCCATATCCCCGGTTATTGTGGCTAATATCGAACATGCCTTTTAATTGAATTTCACGCGTTCCCCATAAAGTTCCAGCGTGTCCAGATCGCAACTTTATGGCCGCCCTGGCCGGATATTTATATGTCCGCGCGTATAGCCTGCGACTCCTTTAATTGCCTTCGCTTCTTGTTATGGCACTCGTAAAATCCGGCTCTGTTATTGCACTGTTCCTAGTTTATAATAATAATAATAGCAGTAATAACGTGCAGTGACATCAGTGCGTATACGCTATGCGTTCGGCGAGAGCTTGTAAAATTAATGGAATAATGTATAAACGAAATTGTTCATTACCTTTCCACGACGACCGCCGTTCAGTGCAAATATTAAAGGGCAAAACTATATACGCTTTTTAATTACCACCTGATTTTTGTGCTCCCAAATTGCTATCAGCTATTATTGTTGGCCGAAGGAGGAGTTCCTTATCGCCATTTGATGACGTAGAAATTGCGCTGCGATTAGAAGGGTGTGCAATCATTGTCGTCAGTTTGCCTTCTGCGGCATTTCCTGAAATGACTTGGACTTTCATTTGGCCAACTTGAGTGGACAGCTTTTATGTCAGCTAATGGCATATAAATCATAGTTTTATTTCCATAAAAAAATTGAGATACCACAATTTATAACTAACTTAAATAATAAAAGTTTTTAAATGTAATCTGCGGCTTCAAAGTTGGCTTGAAATGATTAACAGTTTTGAAAGGGGTATTTACCTCTGTGCCTTTCTATTTTACTTCTTCTTCCGGTCCCCATAATACCTCTTGAAATTTCTAGAGGACTCCAATAAAGGAATCCCCTGTGATTTCAAAACCACTCCAATCGATTTTGATTAGATGGATTTCTTTGACATCTATAATCATGTTATCAAATTTCCTGACATTTTATTTCTTTATGGTGGCTAATAGTTGGTAAGTCACTTGGGCAATGTGTTTTCATGTCGCTGCAGAAATCGGTTGGGAAGTACTAAAGAAGAGGGTGCTATAAATTCAATTATAGCCAATACGCCAGGTGATTTTTCTTCGGGTGACTCAAGTGGAAGGCGAGTGAGTAAGTTGCCAACCAGCTGGCTGACAGAAGACGGACGCGGAGTGGCATTGGAAATTGTTTCACTACGGGGCCATTTACAAAACAATTACACTTATTTGTGCCCCATTTAACAGCTCGTCCCGCGACTGACAATCCATCAGCGGCTGCTTCTCTTCACTCAGCGAAGCTCAGCGGAACTCAACGGAACCGAAAGCCGGCAGCCGCTGCTCGACTTCATTTCGTCCTGACAGCTCCGAGTGGAAATGAGCGCCTGGAGCAAGTATTTGCACACGGCGAAATAGTCGAGACCCAAACTGGTCAGAGGATAGCTATTTCCTGACAGATAATTTCGGTACTTTCCACAACAGTGGTAACTTTTAGCTTTAGGGGGACCTTCCAAACATTTCATTAAACATGAAAACTATTTAAGTTACTATACGAGTTTCTGAAACTAATATATTTCTCAGTGCATCTTTTTTTCGTTGCAGAGCAGTGGCATCCGAAGCACTGTTTAGTATGCAGCTCAGACAGAAGAGCAGCCAGCGACAGCTGAAGAACTGCATTCCTGCAATGGCAGGTAAATAATATTAATCATACGCCCCGTGGACGTTGGCATTCGTTTCGATGAATTAGGATAATTAAATTATTATCTCCTTTGTTAAAAATTAAAGATGTCGAAACTTAAAATAAATTGTTTGCTTTGCAATTGAATTGGTGAATATTAAATACTTGTTTTGCTATTTTTCAAATTATAAGTTAAACGCAGTAACGTTAATCTAGTTCTTGGAACTTTAAAACATCGATATGTGGAAAATTCCACAATCTTCAGAAGTTTCCGGAAGACTGTTTACGCTAACTTGCGCTTATTAACTTAACTGCCACAATAATTTTAATTACTCACCCACACTCAATGTGCTTTTTGTTGGCAAAATCCTAGGCTATTTCAACCAGACATCGAGGGAGTGGCTTAATAATAACGATAGCAGGAGACATTCACATTAAAAATTAGCAAATTAGCGGAAGCAAATGTTGTATTTTTTAATTGATGGTCGATTTTCCTATTGATACGTCTTATAAACATCTAGACAGAAGAAAAGGCCCTAGGATTATGGAAGCTCCGGAATTTCTTCTGGAACATGAAAGCGGTGTCTGTTTTCACCAAACGAAAGCGCCTTCGTCCATTTCTCAATTTAAGTCCTATGAAAACAGAAGTGGCCTTCGTAAGCAGCTACAAAATATTTTAAAACGTATTGGCTAAGAAATTATCGCGAATAAAAAAAATATAATGACAAAATATTTAATGGTTATTACAATTTTTATATACCACGTTAATTGAATTCAACATTTGTTATCACGACTCTTTAAATCGTTTATAGATCAAATCGTGGCTATCTACAATCAATGACGTAAAGTTTTATTGCCGATAAGGAAAAAGTTTACCTAACCGAGATTTTATTTCATTGTTTTTGTTTTTCAAAGTAAATTTGGCAAGCTCTGTATCAGCTTATATATAATATTTTCATATAAATCTATTATTTTGATGAGCAGCTCAGCACTAAAAAAACTAGCCCAATCTTCTAGATTACAAGTTTATAATTTTGCATCAGTTATACAATTTTATACCCTTGCAGAGCGAAGGGTATTATAATTTTGGCCAGAAGTTTGCAACGCAGTGAAGGAGACACCTCAGACCCCATAAAGTATATATATTCTTGATCAGCATCACGATCTGAATCGAAATACGTCTGTACGTCTGTCCGTTGGTCCGTCTGCCCGTCTGCCCGTCTGTCCTCCTGTCCGTTTTTGCCCAAACTAGTCTCTCAGTTTTAAAGCTATCTTGCTGAATCTTTCCCAAAAGGTGTGTAATTATTGCACGCAGTATATAAGTCGGAACGGGCCGGATCGGGCGACTATATAGGATAGCTCCCATACAAAAGATTAAAATAAAAAATTCTAACGCCGTTGTTTTTGATCAGATCGACTTGATTTCTTCTAGATGACGTTTTCTGAGCACTATTGAATTTCTGATAAAATTTTATCAAAATCGAATAACTTCACCATATAGCTGTCATACAAAAGATCAAAAAATATATATATAAATAATGAAAAAAAATTATAACGTCGTTGTTTTTAATCCCACGAGCATGATTTTTAAAACATGGAGTTTTTTAATAACCCTTGAATAGAGAAAAAAATTTCATTAAAATCCGACAACGTTATCATATAGCGGCCATAGGAAAGATCGAAAAATCTATTTAGAAATATGTGAAATAAAACTAAACCATCGTTGTTTTCCATCAGACAAACATAATTTTTGGAATATCGAGTTTTCTAACTGCTCTTGAATTGCATATTAAATTTCATCAAAATCGGACAACTATATCAAATAGCTGCCATACAAACAATAGTCGAAAATATGGAAAATGAATAGAAAAATCGTAATAGTTTCGATGTTGTTTAGCTCTTATGCATTTTGATCGATATATTTGATGACTGCAAGGGTATATAAGCTTCGGCTTGCCGAAGCTAGCTTCCTCTCTTGTTTTACTTATCATAGGTTTTCGATCAATTTTGTTCCATTTTATCAATATTAACCTGTTATCTAATTGCCACGCTTTTTTTTTTTATGTTTTTGGCAGACAATTACTCACTTCATTAAATCAGTTAATTGTATCCTTACGGAATTAAGCCTCGACACAGAAAAAATATATTTTTTTAAAGATTACTGATAAGTTTTTGTTTACACATATTTAAAAGCGCACATGTCTTTTTTTTTACTGTCATATGCCCCAAAGATATTTTAATTACAGTTAGGAATAACTAAAAAAAAAAAAAACAAGGTTTCAATACATATAAAAAATGACTACATCACTTTTTATTTAAAAGTAGTCTTAATCACAAGCAATTGGCAAGAGATTAAGAGCATGATAAGAAATTTAAGAATAATTGGTACTTGAATTATTAATCAATATTATTTACTGCGCCGGAACCAATAAAAAAGGAATCGTGGAATCGTATTGTGGTAATCACTTCTTGGAATCTTGGCGAGAGTTTGACTAAAAATACAAGAGGGTTCTGCAATTTCCGTCGGCTTTTCCACTCAGGGTTCCCCTTTTTCGCTCCAATTATTTTCGTCTAGCAACTTTGAGTTAGTCACCAACCCCCAAGGTGCTTTGTTTTGGCCAAATTCGGGTTATGCAAACCAGACTGCAGGGGAGGGCCGTGATATCGGAGGGTTTTTTCGCATTAAAAAGTCGTTTATAATTAGATTCTCGATCATTCAGCAGTGGCAACAGTAGAATGACCTCTATTCGATGGCCGATATGTTCGATAGCGACCTGCCAGTTGGCTCATTGTTTACGGGTTGATCAAGGAAAAACGAGTAGCCCAAGTCCGGTACGTAGGGTGATTGCTTTATTGATACTTCTTATCAACAGGAAGATAGGAGAAAGCCCCGCCGATCGCAAAGCACTTCAAAGATTTCGGGGGCATAAAAGCATTGGCTAGCCGTCGGTTTAGACCAAGTTACGAACGAACCGTGAAGCGAGCAACATGCACTCCCAGCTAACTGCCATCCTGCTGGCCACCGTGGCCATCGGCTCCTGCATCGCGAGTCCCGCCCTGATCTCAGGACACTCGAGAATGTTCGAGCTAATGAGTGCCACCAGCGAGCAGCAACGGAATAACCCCCCAACTGGCCGCCGCCTGCTTCAACTATTACAACCCGATTTTGAACTCTGACCTCGCAGCCTACGACAAGGAATACGAGCAGTGCTCGGTTAGTTACGACGAAGGCCGCTCTGGAGTCCTGAAGCGGTATGACACCTCTGTTTGGGATGTCAGCAATACCACCTACGAATCCTGCATGAGGGTGCTCGACTGCGATTTTCTGGATAACAGCCAGGAGTCACTGAACTGCTATGCGAACAATGTGAGTTACTTAATTGAGTTAACAAATATTAGATGTATTTTTTACACATATGCGTAAATACTGACGTAGCTCAGTTTTTCACTTTTTTCTCTATACATACAATTTAGTACTATTTTTGATGAGATTCAATTATATATTTTAGGGTCCGATTGAATCAAAGGTGTTGGACAGTGTGGCCTTCAATGCCTCGAAATTGTATAGTTCCCTGGGTCAAGAAGTCGAACAGCTCCAATTTACCCGTGAGCTTTGCTTCAACATTTCGAGACGGAATTACGAGCCCCGTTCTGGAAACACATATCAAGACCTTCAAAGCTGCCTAATGGGTCTGTCGCCTGTGCCAGAGATCACCACCACCACCACCACGACTACCGAACCCACCACCACGACCACCGAGCCCACCACCACGACCACCGAGCCCACCACCACTACCACCGTCCTGATATCTTCCAGCACAGATGAGGTAACAACCACAACAACGATCTCCCCCTCGACAATTGCGCACTTTGGATCCGATGAAGGCAACAGTGCTCATAGCGCGCACCAGAGGAAGGGTCTGAAAAGTATCTTCAGACACATTTTCTAAGAATATGAGAATATTCACGTAAATTGTACATCTCCAAAGATTTATTAAAATGAACATTGCAAACTGTATTTCAAAATAGAGTTGTGAAAGATGTAATCTTACAGAAATTTAAAAGAAACATAACAAACATTATAAGCTTAATTTATGAATCTCCTCTGCTTGAAACTGGTCAAATAAAAGATGTTAAAGGGGAACACTCTAGATAATTGCAAAATAATAGAGGGTATTAAGGAGCGGTAAAGGATGAGGGGCTGGCTCCACTCAAAACCCAAGCAGATGGCATCTAGTGATGAAGTCAATCTGGAAACTCAAACGAGAAACTAAAACCCATTGCAACTTACTTAATTAACGGTCGATCTAGGTGGAAAACCGAGCAGGAAACCAACCTGATGCGATGCAAATAAAACTTTTTGCATTTGCCATCAGTCCAAGTTTATCAAAGATCCGCAGGACACGGGCGGCGAAGGGGGCGGTAGAAGGGTCGGTTAACGGGGGAAGGACAAACATGTAAATCAGCCTGGGAAAAGTTTACCCCGGGCAGGAAAAACAAAGGGGGCGAAGTTAGCAATTGCAGGGGCGGGGCACTTAAAGGTAGTGGTAACAGTTAAGTAAACAGCCGAGGCATTTTCCTAGCGGTGTCTTTTTATTCAAATTTAATTGCATGCGTTGTTATTGTTTGTGCAGCTGCCGGCGGGCTTGTTGTCACAGCAATTAAAAGAAATTAGAAGCGCTGTGCAAAGGGGAGATTTCACTTTGCCAAAATAAAGCCAATAACTTTGCGAGCTATCGCATCCTGCATCCTGGCATCTTTGCATCCTTGCATCTTTGCATCCTTGCATCATGCCATTGGCGTGGAATGCAGCAGCATTCACACACACACACTCGCACTCACACACGCACACACTCGCAAAGAACACGCAATTAAGATATGCAAATTAGAAGATGTCCTTGCTTCCGCAGCTCCCGAATCCTTGATGTGATCTCCTCCACTCCACTGAGCTCTGATAATTATGCACAGGCAGAGCTTTTAGCTCGGCCAACTACCTCAATTTATTTATTTGGGCCAACAATAATAGCCCGAGTGAGTCATTACACTTTTCCAAATGTAATTATCATGTCGGCTGTAAGTGACCGACAAGCGACTGCGATAGAGTTCAAGTGCGTATTGATTGGTTGTTAGTCATAAAACTTTACCCAAATCAACTAGCGATCTCCTTCCATTCAGTTGATAAGGCTTGGGAAATCCTTAAGACCTTGTTCTATAATTAATTATTCCCTTTGCGGGACACTCAACCCTAGCCTGCTCACTTGTTTATACTTTTTCAAGTTAATAGCTTTATCAAAAGCCATTTCTGACCAATAAAAAACACTCCAAATGACGATCGAATCGGAATTCTGATTTTTTTGCCTCGATATGGCACACTTTAACTTGTTTCGCGAGATTCCTTGGAATCGAACTATAAGACAGACATACAGACTGCACGTGTGTCTTCGCAAGAATTCCACTCCAACTGATTAGATTCGCTTAGGACAGTTGCCATCTTAGCCATTTGGGTTCCTTCTTTCCGTATTCCTCCAGGGAAAGTGTTATTCCTTTGGCCAATTTGGCAGGTACGCACAAAGACCGATTCCGGGAAGTGTTGACATCGATGGCGTGCTGATCTAACTGAGCAAAACTTTTGGGAGCGGGGCGGAGGAAACCCTTGAGCTGGATTTGCCGGGCGGGTTCCGTGGAGTGGTGGTTATAAAACCGATAAGAATGATAACTACGCTGCGCCTGGCTTTTTGAGATAGCTCGAGTGATAGGCTAAAACTTAGGCAATAACACGGCAATAACATGGCTTTTTTACTCAACACTAAGGCAGGAATATTTTTTTATGGACCACTCGAGCGCGGCGCCTATAAATACTGCAGCTGCCTCTTAAATCCAACAAGTGCGAATCGATCGTTGAAACGTGAAGGTCTAAAATAGCTCCTAGAAAAAGTGAACTGAAATCCTCCTAAAATGCAAGCCAAGTTGTGCATCCTTCTTTTGGCCATTGGCCTCAGTGAGATTCTGGCAGTGCCGTATCCCTTGTGGCAGCCCACGAATCCGAGCGCCGACTTCCTCCAGTTCCTCATCCAATCCCGTGACCTCATCTCCGACAGCGACCACTCCATCGAGTGCCTCAACTACTACAGCCCCCTGCTGAACGACGAGCTGACCGCCTACCAGAACAACTTCAAGGGCTGTCTGGAGGAGTCCGCCCTGGAGGTCTCCCAGATCAACGACAAGACCAAGGACGACCGCGATGCCATCGACGCCTCCGCCGTGAGCTCCTGCGAGGCCCTCACGGTCTGCAGTGAAAAGGAAGCCGCCGAGGAGTACTTCCAGTGCTACAGTGAAGCCGTAAGTTAATGCACTTAACTTATTAACATATATATTCCGAAATCTTAATGAATACTGATAATTAAATTGGACTATTCCCTTTACTGACGTATAAATTTTAACAATTAAAAAAATCAATTTTTTTTAACAATCATGCTGATAAGTCATAGATAAAAACATTTTGACATGAGGTGATTTTCTATCATTTCTATTATGTATAAGACTTATTTTAAAAACTAATTTAAAACAAGTATTTTTAATAGCTGTAAATATATGATAGTAATAACTTATTTTCCTATTTTTCCAGGGCTCCAACGGCACCAAGTCCATGTTCACCATCTCCGCCAACGCCTCCGAACTTTTGGCTTTTGTGCAAGAGGAGGTGCGTCTCATTAAAGTGAACGAGTACGTCTGCACCAACAAGACCCAGAGGGCCTACGCCGAGAACTCCGCTAAGCTCTACGAGGATCTGGGCAGCTGCATCAGTGGTGCTCCCATTCCCGAGTCAACCACGAGCACCGAAACCCCAGTCACTGAATCCTCAACTGATACGTCCTCTGTTGTCACCGATTCCTCCACTGATTCGTCCTCTGTTGTCACCGATTCCTCTACTGATTCGTCCTCTGTTGTCACCGATTCCTCCACTGATTCGTCCTCTGTTGTCACCGATTCCTCAACTGACTCTTCCTCTGATGCGACGGACTCTTCAACCGATTCTTCGTCTGCTGCTACGGAATCCTCGACTGATTCCTCCTCTGATGTAACAGACTCCTCAACCGATTCTTCGTCTGCTGCCACGGAGTCCTCAACTGATTCGTCCTCTGATGTGACGGAGTCTTCGACTGACTCTTCATCTGCTGCTACGGAATCCTCGACTGATTCCTCCTCTGACGCCACGGAATCCTCTACTGACTCCTCATCTGCTGCCACAGATTCCACAAGTGAATCGTCCTCTGTTGATCCCGAATCCCCATCCGAGAAGGAAGCCGCTCCCGAGGAGGATCTGAGGTCGGTGTCTAGTCAGAACAACAGGGAAATGCAGCGGATACTGAAGAGCCTGCAGCTCTTGTTCAAGAGTCAGTAAGACAAAGAGCTTTCTAATCCTATATTAAACAATACAAAAAATCCAATAAATAAATATACATTAATTATTTATATTAAAAAACATAAAAAGCAAGCCCGTTTCTTTTTATCAAATTATGTCAAATTACTCAGTAATCGATGGCATTGCAAAATTGGTATCGACCAGTAACCCAGATTTTCCGATTACAATTTTAGGGGAACAACAAGTAATACACTTGGAAATAGGAACCGTGTGATTCATTGTACAACCCACTAAAGATACTCGTGCTTATCGCAAGGTACAGTGTTTACTGCCGTTTGACCAACCACACATTAACGAATCAATCAAAAGTGGTCAGCTGATAATCGGCCAACTATATTAGCCATTACCAATGCCAGATAACGCCCCGGCTATTTATGGAGCGTTGGGTCAGAGAAAAACTTATTAAAATGAAATCGGAAGGAATCTCGGCGCCGATTTCGAGAACAAGATAACAGCTTAATTAGCTTTTAATCAAAGCGATTTAATGACTTCTCAATGACTTCTCCAACTGCCGAAAATTTTGATAGAACAGGGCTATAAAAATATGAACCAAAGACCGGTGGCTTTCAGTACGAACTCTCGATCCGTGAAGTCGGTTTGTTAAAACGAAGTAGTAAACATGAAGTTCTCGATCGGTCTGTGCCTGCTTTTGGCCACCAGTGGATTCGCCCTGGAGGACCAACATCCCGCCGACCTGTTCAACATGTTGGCTCGCCAGCAGTTCGCCGTGCGCACCTTGATGGCCACTCCCCAGGCGCGGGATAACGCCGATCTGGTCGACGACTGCTTCAACCACTACGTGGAGGACCAGACCAACGTGGTCATGGGCTACAACGTGAGGTACACCGGATGCGTGAGGACCCGCAATGATGGCCGGACCGCACTCACCCAGGAGAGCGCCTCCGAGCGGGAGAGCCTTCTGGACCGCACCAACGCCATGTGCTTCAACCTGAACAGTTGCGATGAGAAAGTCGATGGCCTGGAATTCTTCCAGTGCTACCGAGATGCCGTAAGCATTACCTATTCTGTAGTAGTATAATAAGATTAACTTTTAATTGGTGGTAATTAGGTGGAAATACGCGTTTTACTATTCTTTTTTATCATATATCTCTACATTTTGACACAAATAATATTATATAAATTGGCGATTGGGGCATATATTGTATTATCATTCCTTTCCGTGGTATTCTTTACTGATAAGGCTTTCGTAAAATTAAAAGAGAATCATAAATAGATTGCTCCTATCAGTATTAATTAAAATTTTTTTCTTTCAGTCCTCTGACAGCTACAAGACCATGTTCACCCTCAACAGTGACTCCAGCCTGGACTACACTCGCATCAGTGCCAAGTACAGCGTGATCGAGACGGATTACACTGCCTGTGTGGATGAGGCTCGTGCGGATTACGCCCACGACATGGACGTCTGTGACGAGACCCTGAACGTCTGTCTGAAGGGAGGAGAGGTCACCACCACTGTTCCTCCTAGCACGGAGGCTCCTAGCACTGCTGCTCCAAGCACTGCTGCTCCTAGCACTGCTGCTCCTAGCACCGCTGCTCCTAGCACCGCTGCTCCTAACACTGAAGCTCCAAGCACCGCTGCTCCTAACACTGAAGCTCCAAGCACTGCTGCTCCCAGTACAGCTGCTCCAAGCACAGCTGCTCCCAGCACTGTTGCTCCTAGTACAGCTGCTCCCTCCACCGCAGCTCCTTCCACCGCTGCTCCCAGCACCGCTGTTCCCAGCACCGCTGCTCCCTCTACTGCAGCTCCCTCTACCGCTGCTCCCTCTACCGCTGCTCCATCCACAGCTGCTCCCTCCACCGCCGTTCCCTCCACTGTCGCACCAAGCACTGCTGCTCAATCTACCGCTGCTCCATCTACCGCTGCTCCCTCTACTGCTGCTCCCTCCACCGTTGAGCCAAGCACCGCTGCTCCCTCGACCGCTGCTCCCTCCACCGCTGCTCCCTCCACCGCTGCTCCCTCCACCGTCGAACCAACCACAGAGCGTTCACCCGAGGAGGACCTCTTCAGATCCGCTCCCTTGGCAAACAAGGGTCGTTGGAATCTTTTCAAGCGTTTCTTCTAAACGCAAAATCTGTTAAATTATTTATTGCATTCAATTTCGTATTTTCAAGTGCCTTAAAGTTCCAAATAAAGCGATTGCGTACAAAGCGTAGAATACTTTTGGGTTCGACTGCAAATGTATTATACAGAAGGGTGAAAGCAGGGACGCACGGGGGATTTTTACAAAGGGGATTTCTTGGAATATTATTTTAGAGTAAAATATATTACTTCCCAGGAAGGTTGAAACTGCACATTTCACGTTTCCTCCGAGCTGTATATTCAGGGCATAAAGTCTATTAAGCCCCTCCCTAAATCCGTCACTGGGAACACCTATCACTGATAACCGGCAGCGTTATGAATTGCCTCGCTTGTCTCAGTTAAGTAGACAAGCGCCACAACATTTGACTACTGGTTTTTCGCACTGCTCGCTTGGGAGATCGGATCAGAGGGCTCCGAACGGCACTGGCAATCTTTTCGCACGACGGCAGATAAGTGGAGCACCTGAACTTGTCGTATATAGCTGGCCTTCGGGCTGGTCAATAAAGCCGAATGGCAAAGCAACGAGTTATTAGGAAATGATCAATTAGCCGCTCGGCGTTCGATCGCCGTCGTTGGTTCTTCAGCGGCATTCGAGATCGGCGGGCAAATGGAAGTGCTACGGAAAATATTGAAAACGGAGACCAGCTGTCGCCTCTGCTGGCTGCTTACCTTGTTGTTGATATTCCCTTTGTTGGGATGTTCAGAGACCACTGAAGGGTTCGAGTGGCCCACTCCCGAACCAGATCTCAACATAGACGAATGCCATGATGAGTTTACCATTGCATGTGCCAACGCCTCGCAAGCGTACTCCGATTCCTACGATCTGTGCCAACTGAACGCCAACGAAACCATGATAAGTTTGGAGGTCGATGTGGAGCTGGAGCGAATGCAAATCGAGCTGGGATCCAGTGCGGTGTGCGGAAGTCTGCGGATCTGTGACACCTTGGTGGACGATCTGGAATACTTCAAGTGCATCAACGAGAACGTAAGTTATCTCAGCTTCAAGATGATGTTAACAGAACTAAACGAATACCCAACGGTGACGAGATACTTGCACTTGGAAAGAAAGAAAACACTACCTTTATCAGTTCGTTTGTCATTAGGTGCATTATCTGCTATGTTGCATTTAGATAACAACGAAAGAAGTCTATGAAAGTTGACAAAAAGGATTAGGTACAGGTTTACTTTAACATTAAGAAAGGGGGCTTTTTAAAAGTGCTTTTAGCTTAAAAGAATACCAATATTAATAATTTTTTTACTTTAGGGAACTCGCAACCTGGACATCTTGACCGAAATAAATTACAATGCCACAAGTGCTTACACACGTCTGCATGAGGACTACGATGCAGTGCACAGGATATTCCTGCTTTGCAGCCTGGATGCCCAAAAGAACTACATGGAGGATCTTAGGCAGGCCCACAAGGAGCTAACCCAGTGTCGATCGGAAGTCGATGAGCCAATACAGTAAACATGGCTTATCTGTTGCTATGTAAACAGTAAGAAAAAAGGTGAATAAACACCATTTATGAAGGCAAATTACTGCCAATTGATATTAATTTCCTAGAAAAAACTATTAATAAGAAAAGATACTGTAAAGAACTTATTTCCTTAAAAACTTAAGAACGAAGTAGTATAAAGGAAATGGTTCAAGCTTTAGGACAAACAATGTATTCTATTAAAGATAATCAGCTGATTCAATATTTAGTTCTTAAAACAAATATATAATCTCAATTAACCTCTAAAACTTAAAAGTATGAACAATGTAGATGTGTTATAAATATAAAAGAACAAATACTGATACAGTCAGCTTTTGATATATTGCAGTAAATAGAGACGTTGCCATAGATTAGATATTAACATCGAATGTAACGTTCATAAAAGTTATTTTTCTTCATTCTGCTGCAAGCAACGATCCAACGATCGGAAGATCTGATCCGTTCCTTGGACATAATTATGTTCGGTTTCATTTGTACACTGATAATGCTCCATTTCTATGCGGCTCAATTTCTGATTCAGGATTAAGGCCTGCTCAGAGGAATTATAGGAAATACTGTACACATTGGTCAGCTGCGTCTTGGACTGTAAATAAATTTTGTTGAAAAGAACTCTTCGCAAACAACACTTACTCACCATTTTGGCAAAGCAGGTGAAAAATTCCAGGGAATCCGTGAGGGACAAACACTGGTCTATAAAGGAACTAATGCTTAAGGCGACTTCCCGAATCTTTTCCTGTGCCTCAAAGGCATCTGCTAGAACAGACTGTCGATCATTGGTGGTGCATTCTTGGCAGTCACTGTACCCCTGCGACCAGGTGGATCCTTGGTTTTCCAACTCGGGTAAATAGCGTGCGAAGCATTTCTTGGTATTGCCCAGATTGGAAGCCGTATCATTTCCTTCATCTAAGTACGAGCACAAGCTGTTCAAAGCCCGTGGCTGCTCAGCTAAAACCTTAAATAAATCTTTCTAGAATTCTTTTCAATTTTGTAATATATTTTATCCACCTCAAAGGCCAAAAGCAGAGTGATAATAACAGTTTTCATAACGCTGACCAAAAACGACTGAACGAAATTGAAGCGAAATTTCCGCGAAAAGGAACCAAAAGTTGGTAATGTAATCTGACATTGATGAATGGTTTGTTTATAGGCTTTCTTATCGCTGCGTAACGTCTGCAAATATCGATACAGTGGCTCTCAAACTGTGCAAACGAGTGACAAAAAGCCTTGCATATTTTTGGCCAAAAGGAAAGTTTTCTTTGAAAAGATTGTCTTCGCAATTGATTACGTCATCGATAAAAAGTTCGGGTAATTTTCGCACTGATATGGGGTGTTATTAACCAATCGTTACAGCAATAGATTCGATGCGGATATTAAGCCCTTAAGCTGGTGAACTTGGGAAGTTCAAAGAACCGCCAGTGAGACCTTCCGGTGGTTCCTGGCCAACTTATCTTCGCTATCAGCTCTTGACCCTGAATACACGTGTTTGGGATCAACTGGAAATGCACATGCAAAGCAATTTGTGGGTCTGGCATTACGCATTCGCCCTAATGCTACCTAATTGATCGGCGCTTGCCAGCAGGAAATTATTCACGAAAATATCATTCCAGGCAAACGGATCAATCATTTGCCCGCCGGCCGAGTATATAAAGCATTTGTTTTCGTTCTTGAACAGCGACAGTTGAGATCGAACCGCCAACGAAAACGAAACGACCGCCAGAATGAAGTTCCTCTGCAGTGTGCTAATCCTCGCCAGCGTTCTCCTGGCCACCAACGTAATGACGCCTCGATACTCGATTCCGTGGTTTCCGGTGGTGTTAACCAGTTCCGTTTCCGCTCTCCGCAGGCCAAGCCCGGTGTCCAGCTGCAGCTGCAGAGCGCCCTGGATCAGTACATGGCGCACGCCCGCAACCTGGACGCCGTCGTCTCCGCGGATGTGACCACCCAGTGCTTCGACCTCTACCTGCCCATGCTGAACGAGGTGGCCGCCACCTTCTCCTCCTCCTACCAGGACTGCATCAGCACCGCCAATGCCGAGACCGCCAACCTGACCGCCCAGGCTGACAAGCAGCAGAAGGTCTACCAGTCGGAGGTCACCAGCTTGTGCAGCGCCTTCACCGCCTGCAACAGCGACAACGACACCGCCACCTTCTTCAACTGCTACGCCACTGCGGTAAGTTTGTGATAACTGGAGGTGCCAGAAAAGATACTTCCTTAAGAGCAAGAAGTGAGATGGGTTTCATGGGTTTAAATAACTTACATTTGAAAAAGAAAATATAACAAAAGTCAGTTGAGCATCATAACCCATGAAAATAATCACTATAAAAAAGAACCCATATAATTAGGCTTAAAATATAATATTAATATACAGAAAACTCAGGTTATTTCATTTTAATACACTTTGAAAGATCATTTATAAAGCTTTAAGTATCCAGATAAATAATTCGACCCTTTACTTTTATTATCCCAGGCTGAGAGCGACGTTTCCGTGATCTACGACATTGCCACCAACGCCGCCAGCTCGGCCAGCACTTTGACCCTGGGCATCCAGGCCATCCAGGCCACCGAGTACCAGTGCACCAACACCACGGAGAGCAACTACGTCCGCGACACCGCCGCCACCTACGACCTGCTGGACAGCTGCCTGAAGTACGGAGTGCCCACCACCTCCACCGCCGCCCCCTCCTCCACTAGCCCCGTTGCTAGTTCGAGCGGGGCTGCTGTCTTTAGTGACACCACTGATGCTGCTTCGACTACCGCCGTGAGCACCGACGCCCCCGGCACCACTCCCGAGACCACCACCGCCGATCCTGGAAGCTCAGTGGCTTCCTCTTAGGCCACCAATTGAATCGCATGCAATCGCAAGCAATAAATGAGCATTTGAAAAATACTGTCTAGGGGATTTTTTAAAAATTTGAAATTAAATATTCTGTATTTGATATTTATGAGCGAAACTTTAGGCTTTTCGGCTTACAAAACAATAACTTATCTAAAAATTCATAAACTGTGAAATTAGTTATTGAAGAAAAACATTGCATACTTTTGGCCAAAGGAAATAAAAATTCAAGGGACTGTTGTCGCTGCAGTTAATATTATAATATGCCACAATGATAGTGAGGACTTTGTGAATTGATTTTAATAACCCTATCGTTACAACAATCAACTGCAAAAGAGGATTAGATTTTAAGCCTTTACTTTCGATAACTTCTAACCACCGGCTTATTGACCTAACTTTTGGTGGTTGACTATCTAATATTCTTATCCTCCTTTAATGTTGACTCACATATCGGAATAGTCTGGTCATACGCCATAATGCAACGTAATTGATCGGCTTTTGCTAGCAGCAAAAAAAATCACACATTTTCAAGTTGACCAAACGGATCCATCATTTGCCCTGCCAGCCAGTATAAAACATTTAGACCAGGTCTTCGGTATCGACAGTTTTTGTACTACCGCCGACATGAAGTTTCTGTGCAGTGCGCTAATCCTTGCCAGCATTTCGGCCATCAACGTAGAGTTTTATTGATTTTAGTCTGGCTTCCGGTGGTAACGGATTTAGTTTTTCAGGCCAAACCCAATGTGCAAATTCCGAGTGCTTTGAACCAGTATTTGGTGCATGCCCGCGATTTGGATACCATTGTTTCCGAGGATGTGACCTCGCAGTGCTTCAATCTGTATCTGCCACTGTTGAACGAGGTGGCTGCCACTTTCTCCAGCTCTTACCAGGAATGTATCAGCACCGCCAATGCTCAGACCGCCAACCTGACTTCCCAGGCAGATCAGCAGCAGAAGGCTTACCAATCTGAGGTTTCCAGCTTGTGCAGTGCTTTTACCGCCTGTGACAGCAGTAATGACACCACCAACTTCTTTAATTGCTACGCGAGTGCGGTGAGTGAGGAAATAATATTCAGTATGTTTTTCTTATTATTTTATTATTGATTTCCAGGCCGAGGCTGATGTCTCTGTGATCTACGAGCTTTCTACCAAAGCTTCTGGTTCAGCTAGCTCCTTGGTCCTGGGCATCCAGGCCATCCAGGACACGGAGTACCAGTGCACCAATGCCACGGAGGCGGCATATGTTCGCAATACCGCTGCCACATACGATTTGCTGGACAACTGCTTGAAAAACGGCGTTCCCACCAGCACCACAGCTGCCCCGCCTCCAGTTACTAGCACCGCATCCACTACCACAGACGGACCTTTTTATTTTGACCTTTAAATTTAGTAAAGCCACGCGTTAAAAAAAAAACACTTGGAAAAATTGTGACTCAATAATATTGATTTTTAAATCATTTTCACGGTCGCAGACTAATTTCTAGGTGAAGTGGTTTTACGAATGGGAAAGTAATTGCTGGCAATATAAGAGCATTGAAATGTGTTTGAGTGTTTTGTTTTGTTAAAAATAAATTCGTGGGGAATCTGGGGTGGTTAAAACAAGAAATCCGTAGCTATTTATAGGCAAGGAAAATCAAGCAGTCTAAAAAAAATAGTACTTAAGGGCACATTTAATCAACAAAATAAAATAACAGAAATGAAGAAAAAAAAATAAATAAAAACTATATTTTAATAAATATGTATTCAAAAATTTTTTCTGTTACATATTTCATAAAGGTGTCTTTACTCCTTACATTTTACAGTGTACGAAGGATTTAAAAATAGGCAATCGAAGAATCTCCAAAATTGCTGAAAGATTTGGTTATTTCTGGCGCCGCCGGGTCAGTTGGACTGGACCAGACATCTGTTGAGAGATAGATGAGTGCTTTTGGACTGGGAAGTATGAGCGGAAAGTTTTCACCAACGCGGAGAGAATATAATAGGCGGGCGCGGCTGGCCGAACTTACACCTTTCCAGCGGCGAGCGGGCACAAACAGTCGGTCCGAATTGGCCTTATCGGCGGTACATTCAATTATCTCTCCGCCGCGCGGTTTTTACGCTTTAAAAGCGTGCCCACATTGAGCCCGGTGTATCAGTCGAGTTTCGTTCTCGGACCATTAAACACTCATCATGGAAAGCCAACGCGTTTCAGTCGTCGCAATTGCTGTTTTTCTCGCCGGATTGTGCGTGCTGTCCGGCCTGAACGTAATGAGAATGGAAATGAACTCGGCAAATGGCGCTGGAAAAGCTAAGCAACCGTATCCCTATTTTCAGGCGGCGCCCATTCAGTGCAACAACGGAAGTGGCATCCAGATATCCGAGGACGGACACCAGATGCAGTCGCAAACCGGTCCGGGCTGCCAAACGCAGACCTCGGAGGACGGAACCCAGAGCCAGGGACAAATTTCGACAGGCAACGGCACCCAGTCGCAGTCGCAGTGCAGCGGCGCCTCCTGCGCAGGGTTCGCCACCTTCCCGCCCCTCACCTTCCCGCCCCTCACCTTCCCGACTTTCGCCCCCATGCGGCCATTCGCCCCCATCACCTGGCGTTCTTTTCCCCAAATGAACTTCGGTCAGCAGCAAGCGGTTGTGAGCCTTTAGAGAAAGATAATCCCCAAATAAAGACTGCATTTTCAGGTTGCTAAAGTATCACAGAGCAGTTGTTTTACTATGCACACGTGTTTATTATACCCTTGCAGAGCAAAAGGGTATTGTAATTTCAGTCAGAAGTTTGCAACGGACCCCATAAAGTATATATATTCTTGATCAGCATCACGAGTAGAATCGTTTGTCCTCCTGTCTCTCGGACAACTATATCTTATAGCTGCCATAGGAAAGAACGAAAAATCTATATAGAAATAACGAAAATAAAATTATAACATTGTTGTTTTTCATCAGACAAGTAAGATTTTTGGAATATACAGTTTTCTTACGACCTTTGAATTACGAACTAAATTTGATCAAAATAGGACAACTATATGATATAGCTCCCATATGATCTATAGACGAAAATATGGAAACTGAATAGAAAAATCATCTTTATGTATTTTGTTCGACATATTTGATGACTGCAAGGGTATATAAGCTTCGGCTTCCCGAAGCTAGCTTCCTTTCTTGTTTTTAATTTTCTATATTATTTTCGTGATTTAAATTTTAACCCGACTACATTTCTCTGCGATCTTATCTCAGGAATATTTGGTTTTGCGCACAACATGATTTCTCCAAGCTCACAACATCACTTTTTGACTGCCTAATTTAATATATGTATTAAGCATGAGCGAAAACCGAAAGCAAGCCCAAATTTAGATCGACTTAAGCTCGGTCTAGCGATTGTCTAGCTCGACTTGATCTCACAGTTCATCCATGACTCACTTATCTTGTTTTGGAAGAGCCCGACTTATTTACATTTTAAGTCATGTGGGGTAGAGTAGCAAAGCGTTGCTCAAACATTTCAACGATTAGTCCGCTGATTAGTTCTCCGATTGTCGTAAATAGTGTGACAATGAGTGTTTGTGATTTGTTTGGTGCAAAGATTAACGCTTTAACACGTAACACTTCCACTTAATAAAATATTTTAAAAGGGTAAGAGCGATCAACATTTACCCTGCTATTCGAGTTTTTTAAGCTCAGAAGCTTTTTGTACCTAGCATGGAATTTATTTATCCAAAAATGTTATCTACGACATTTGACAGTTCCCCCGCAAAGTTTCGCTTATCGCCGAAATCCCTTGGATTGCAGCGCCAGGAAAGCAAAAATAATGATGAATGTTCGCCAAAGTCTCGTCTGAGGTTAATGCAATTTTTTTTTTCTTTTGTTTTCCTGTCACTTTTGCCGCTGTCGCTGCTGCAGATAAAACTTTTATAATGCGCCCAACTTTTGGCGCGATGTGCGTGGCGGTGTGCCATCGCTTTTGGCAGCCACTGTGGCAGGCACTGTGGCACCTTCTTCGCCGTTTGGAGTTCGGCCTTCGGCGACGTGTGCAAGTAATTGTGGCAGAAAGCAGTGGCAGTAGCAGTAGCAGTAGCACAACAATCAGCGGCAGCAGGATATCGTCAGGAGCTGACGAGGCCGCCGCCAGCTGGCTCTTAACTCATTTTCTGATTAAAATCTGGCCCATTAAGCGTGCCAGCCCGAATCGGACTAAACTTTTTTAATGGCCCTGACAATAGTTGCCGACGTCAGTGGCTGGCTCCTTTCGGGCTCCTTTCTGATCCTGCACTGCGGCCGCAAAAGGACGCGCGAAAATTGGCGCCTGCAACCAACGACGTTGGTCACGACAGGGTGCAGAATTCGGTGTAAAATTAAATTAAAACTGCCAGGGAGAACGAGTTGCGGGTATAGCGCTCCACTAAAAGAAATACCTGCCCCTTTAGCATTTCACCATAAGTCCACAGCTTTTATCAGTGGCATTTTCATTCCATTCCAAATAACATAATGACTCGGTTAAATGGTAAATAATTAAGTAGTATTTATAATGCTGATATCAGTGCTATGAATGTATATCAATTATGTTGACTTAAGCATTTCGTGATAAGATGATAACAGGCATGACCTGGGTTTACCTTTTCTATGTTTTCTATTTCTTTAATAAATAAGAAAATAATAAATACTACTTACTGATATTGTATAATAGTATGCATATTAATAATAAATGCTACTATAATTATCTTTATAAAAACGAACTAATTTCGATTGCTTTTTCTCTGTGTGGCTAAAAAGCGAGTTGAAAGCTGTGAAAATATTTGCGAGCCTTCAGCAAGGAGCAGATGGACGATACAGGATGGGGCAAGCAGAGGAGGAGCTGGATGAGAACCCGGATCCAAAGGAGAACTCTCAGCGCCAGCTGTCAGCGGCTGCCAGAGCAACGATGTCAATTAGTTTTTGAAGCGATGCTGACCTCCTTGGAGCAGCACCTCCACTCCTCCGTTCTCCTCCGATTCAGATTCCAATTCCGATTCCTCCTCCGCCTTCGCATCCAAGTTAGCTGTCCTTGTCCTTTGGCCGAGTCAAGTTGGCTTTAAGTTAATTGCACAAGATTTCAGTTTGCAATCGCAATCGCAATGCTGCTGCTGTTGCTACTTCCGCTTCCTTTCGCCCGTTGCCAGTTTTTAATCAAGTTAAAAGTTATTTTTAAATGGAGTGCGAGCAAAATATGCGAGCGCAATGCAAATATCACAAAGGGCCTCCATCTGTGGCATCATCAACTGCATTTCAGCAGAAAGAAATATTTATGTAGGTACTGATTATTTCATGTGGCATTCGAGGCCAAATTGGTTTTGCCAACCGACTGGCCATGCCTCGTTAATGCATGCGTGTTTTTAACTGTTTTCGTCACATTTAATTTGTGTGAAATTCATATGCCAAGTTGGGCATTTTTTCGCTGGCAAATAAATTAATTACGCTCGAAATGTATTCGATCGTCCACATTTCAAGCCAGTCCAGCAATTCAATTTATGAAATGCAAAGTAAGAGTTCCGGAAATTGTAGTCCATTTTATCGGAAAGGGTTTTTAAAAACATTTAAAACTAAATTTTTGTATTGTTGAATTAACCCAGAAACTTAAACCAAGAACATTAAAAATCCAATCATTTATTATAACCTTTTTTGTTTATATTGTGCAGAGCATTATCTTGTCGGCTTCCCAATTTTTCCCTCATCTATTGTTCGGTTAAATAATATTTATATGCCAGTTTTTTGCCCACCTGCCTACTGTTTTTCATTTGTCATTGGGCTTGCCTCTTTTTTATAAATTATCTTTGACAGGGACACAAACAACCTCACACCCATCGAGAGTCTCGCAAAGCCGAAGCTATTTTAGGTTCTTTACACCTGCAAAGAGCCTTTGATTGATGATACAGGTAATTGATAATGCGCCTCGGATACCTCAGCTCACCTTTTCATCTACCCCCAGCTAATTGGCTCCTAAGTAGGTGATGTTTAAAAATATTTTAGCGGAGCATTCCCGTACACCTTCCTCATTTCGGAGCGGGTCTTTGGCTAATTATGCACTCAAAGCTTAGTCAACGAGCTCGTTGCGAGATGGTTTGAGCTAATTAGGGCGTCCAACGTTAATTGCAATTTGCCCGAACGCGGGAGGGGGAAATTTTCCAACGGGGGATTGAGGAGTGAGGAAAAGGGAGAGGGATAGGAAGAGGAAAAGGGAAAGGCGTTGGGAAAACTCAGTTTGCTGGTTACGAGATGTCGCTCAACTTCTTCAGCTGTTGCTGTCGTTTTGGCCGCGTTGTCACGTTTTTGGTGGCTGCGCTTCTCTATGACTTCATTTCTGAATGCCACAGATGTTGCACTTGCTATGCGATTTGCACTTACGTGAGAATGAGATGGAGAGAGGGGACAGAAAGAGATGGATGCCAAGCACTGAAAAATCCATGTAAGCTTAAGTTCATTTGCGTTGCTTAAATTTAAGAGAAAAATACCAAAAATCCTTTCTTCTCAGTAATAATGTACTTCGTTAAATTTAATTTGAAATTTAATTTCTCAACATCTTTGCTATATTTTTCCTTCCGTGCATAAATAAAAAGAGATGGCTGCCGATGTAACCGAACCTTGTCTGCCTTTTCTGTCTGAGCCAGAGCCGAAAATTTTCTAATTTTCTACTGCAGTGATTTCGCATGCATAGAGAGTTGCATGCCCCGCCCCCGATGATCCCACTTTCCACCGCCTTTCCCGCACTTCCACTATTTCACTATTTTCCGGCCCTTTCCCGGGGCGAGTTCCACTGATTTATGCGCATCAATAAGTTCTCTGAGTGCGATACTTATGCGAAATGTGCCGCAATGAGACGTGGACTCGCCCGTGGCACGTTCGCCTGCAGTTGCTGTCCACCAGGCCGCCAATTCCCCAGCTCCTGGCTCTTCCCATTCCCTACATTTCCACCTCCTGCTGACTCTGTTCCAGCTGCTAAAATAATGATTTGCATTTCGATTTGGGGTTCGATTTCGATTCGGATTTGGCCGAGATAGATGGGTGGGAGAACGAGAAGAATGGCTCAGCTTGCTGGCAGGCTCTAATGAGAGTACACTACACAGGGAGAAAATGTTACCTCAAAACAACTTTAATACCTAGCATTCTATAGAAAAATAAATAAATAAATAACCTACATTGCTTTAATAGTATACTTTTGCCAACATAAAAATCTTTTCATCTCCCTTCAAGCTCTACATATAATCATCCTTCCATATAACAAGCCCATATTAGGGCTTTAATTGCTGATGCTACGACTCCTTCGGTAATTTATTACACGTTTATGAATATATTGAACCGAATTCGGAATAGAAATAAGAAATCAGAGGCCCCTTTTGCCGGGGTGTACCCTAAACGACTTATCGCTTTCTGGGGGGCGAAAAGCCAACTGCCCAGCCAAATAATTCATTTTCGCCTCTTTGTTTGTTGGCCACGTTTACGGGCCTCGCTTATCTTAATGGGTCAAAGGTTATGGCCGGCCTTGAGATGAGACAGTCCGAACTTCCGCCGAGCGGCATGGCAAGCCACAAACCACCAAGACAGACGTCCTTTGCATTCGAGCGGCGCACCACAGTGGGTCCATAGACTTTGGCCAGAGATTAGGCGTGCTTATGAGCAGATTTATGGATCGTCAGCGGGAAAACCTTTTAGCCCCCATCCCCCATCTC